GGTAGCCAAGCATGCAAATATGATTAAAAAAGGGGCAATTGGATATGGTGAAGAATATGAATACGATTAACGTTTATGATTATGAATCAATAAAGCAAAACTTGAATGAGAGCCGGATATTGGATCATAATGAAAACTTTGAATGTAGAAGAGTGGAAGAAAAACTCTACACAAGAGTATGGAATGCAAATAAGGAAAGAGAATAAAATTAGGGATTTAAGATTAACACTGTTAGTCAAATTTTAACAGATATGTTAATTTGTTAATGTAACAAAGTACAAGGTGGTTAATTGAAACAATTGAAAGTCTAAAATAGTAATTTAAAACATGACCAAAGTTCAAGGTGGTATTTTGCATTTTAGCCTTAAAAAAAAGACTATAGTGGTCAAAAAAAACCGGTAATGGTTAGATTGTTGTTTTGTCTTATGTTAATTAATGAAACATGGTAATCATTGGGGTCAAGGAGTGTTGGTAGCAAAACTAATTATCGATATGCTTCTATCGCAATGTTTAATCATGTTCTTGTATGAGGAAACTCAATAAAGAACATAGTGTTGGGCCAGTGACAATTCAGTTTGCTCTGTCACCAATATCAATGTCAATAACATATTTATTATAAATTAGTAGGGGTGGCCAAAAAACCCAAATGAATAGTAAAAAAAATTCAAAGAAGAAAAAAAAATTAAAAATTAAAAAATATTAATTTAATACAAAAAAGTGAACATAAATATAGATAAGAAAGAAAAATATATAAGAAATTAAATCTAAGCAATGCACGGTCATAGGTTATGATTATAAGAAGTTAAATAAAATCCTAGAAAAATTTACCAAAAATAAAAAATAAAAAATCCTAGAATAAGCCTTGTATATTTTGTTTCTGCATTGAAATCTAAGGTCGTGCAGTCTTATTGCGCTGAAAATTCTGGAGGGTAAGTTACACTACCAAAGTCAAATGCACATATTGTCTGCTAACACGGGCAGAAGAAAAGGAGACATTATAGATTTGTTTCCATGTAAATATTTTTTTGAACCTATAATCTCATACATAGTGCCCAATCCCCTCATCGATATTTGTTTATGTGTAAATATTTTCTAGGTGTTTTGCCATGTACTTTTGGGCTTTTGGCTATAGGGGTTAGAGCTAGCGTTGTAGTTTTCTTTCCTTGGCTTATTTCGTGCCTTAAAAAAAATATTTGTAATTTGAATATATGTCTTTAATAAAATCTCGGTTTTAATTTGTTCTTTTCATTAAAATTTTAAGTCACGCAACATGGGGTGACTCATCCCCTCATAAATCTCACCCATTTTTATTATTTTTTTGGTTTTATTAATCTCATATTAAAAGAAATAAGTTATTTTATGTCATAGAGATAAATTTGCGGACTCCACTACATGAAAAAATAAAATAAAAATATGGCACAATTATCAAAAGTGTGTAGGAGAAAAAATTTATCTCATATAGCATGAGAATAGTTTTTTTTTTTTTTTTTATAACATCCTTTTTTTTCTTTTTTTTTTAGTGAGAACGTAGGACTATGCTTTTGGTACCCTTTGCTTTTGCAAAATGCCAAGTTCAATAATTTGTTATTATAGAATCATAATGTCTGAAGGCAGCATATACTCTTATACAAGGGGTGTACATGTGATGAATCTAGGTTTTTTCAACCTAATAAAAAATAACAGATAGACAAACGTTGATTGTATTTAACTGCTTATAATATATAAGGATGATGTTACATTATTAAGATTATTATAAGACATTTATTTGGGAATATTACATGACATATAAATGCAGACATTCTTATAAGAGCATAAGTTTCTGATGAGAACGATCTCTTTACAAATTTTTTTTACAAATTTTTGCAAATTGTACTATATTTTTCTGGGAGAAGATAGTGTGACTAGTGCTCTCCGGAGAGAAGATAATGTAGTTTGTAAACAAAAAAATTTATAAATATAACCTGCCCCACACTGGCGGACCTAGGTTAGTTTTATTGTCTGCACTTGCAGACATAAAATTGAGGAGGAAAAAAAAAAATTACATAAGGTGTGTGATTCAAGTCAAGTAAAAAAAAAATATAGGAAGATTAAAAGGAAAAAGGTAAAGAGTGGACCGGAGGAGAATCACACAGGATTTTTCATGTTTTCTTATGAAACAAAACTGGTCAACTTTGGATCAAATAGACATCGACAAAGATGGGTTTTTGATCAATTAACCCCTACAATTATACTGTATTTTACAAATATCTTTTTGTGGTGTTTATTTATTTTTTAATTATCATTATCGATTATTTCCTTGAAACTTTGGTTGATTCACCAAAAATTTACTTTTGAAGTGGAAGCAAAAATTGGATCATGATTATCGTCTTTAAAACAAAATAGGAGGCGGCACTGAGTCCGCCACTGCTGCCCCATATTAGATACTCCTTTGCATAGTTTTCTTATCATTTTTTATACTAGCATTTTTTCTTAGATTTTTCTCTTTCCTTTTTTCATTGAATATAAAATACTTTGTATGTTTACCAACAACAAAAATACTTTCTATTACTTTAATTTAAAATGCGACAATTTCGGAAGCCAGCATCAGACACAAAATTAGAGCTCTTATAACACCATTTGGCACTAAAAGCCAACGTTTCACACGTATCCCATAAGGCAGCGAAGACAGGCGCAATTCGACACTATGATATTGACAAAATTTTCTCGACCCACATTAGGAGAATAATTAAGAAATTTATTTTAGGAAAAAATATTTGTCTTTTTAATTGTCACAACTTGTGTCATTTTACTCTCACAAAGAGGTGGGATTCACACCTTTATTTTTTTTTTATCCATTCTCTCTCCCCCATGATTTATCTATTTCTCTCTCTTAAAATACACATTTTCCCTTTATTTTATGATTATGTTCTAGAATAAACCAAATAGTATTCGTAAAACATCAATTTAACTCAAAAGGTTAAACTATTAGGTAATGTCACTCATGCACTTACTAATGGCCTAACCAACTAATGGATTGATTCAAGAAGTTTAGAGTCAAACAAAATTATAGTCTATTAAGCACAACTCGCATGTTCAAAGCTCCAAGTCTAGATTAAGCAACATATTTGATTGTAATTTGTTCGGAAAAAAAAAAAGGAAAGTAACAAATTTAACGTGATTTGAAATCTAGAATTTGAGATGTATTTTGAATGATATAATTGTAATTAATTATCTTTCTTTTTAGGAGGCAAATATCGTTATATTTATTTTTATACATTTTTTTACTTTTAGAATTTTTATTTAATTTACAATTGATCTATAAAATGTTGCTTAAGACTCTTATAGTAGGAGTTAAATATTTTCTTATTTTGATAAATATAATTGTGAAATGAGGGTTTCTCTTTTGTTAAATCACAACTCTCTATTTAGTCAATTTTCTATGCACTTTCGGTATTAGTCACATTAATAGTTTTATAGTATATTTCTCTCATGCACCCTCTCACACCATAGTCAATTGAGCTTAAAAGTAGACAATGCACATATTCAATTACGTGTATTAAGAAATTTCACAATATGTAATTCATTAATAGTATTGGGGCGATGAGGATCAAACTCTTGACTTCTTGATTTTAATATTATGTAAAGTATCAATTTAATTCAAAAACTTAAGTTGGTATGTGAAAATTATATTAATGATTTTACATTATATTTTTTTAATAGTATTCGACGAGGTATCATCGAATGTGACAAAATATAAGTGTATAGGCCTAGAAGTGGATAGATAGGATCAAGCTTCAAGCATTGAGCAAGCCGTTATTCGAATTGGAAGCAACGACCATTCCAATATGTTCCCTTTGTAATGTGTTCAAACTATTGTAAAATGTTGAAAACGAACACAATGATAAATGGAATCTGATTGGTTTTGAATCCTACGTAGAAATTCACGCAATGATACAATCAACATAAACTTCACTCCCACCAAAGAATTCCCCCATTTTATGTAGCACTAGATAGTTTTCTAATTTTGCTTTCCGCAAGAGACATGCAAAAATACACGACACTAACAAAATCTCTTTGAATTTATTGATCCTTGGCCCCAATACAAACCCACCAAAAAAGATAAAAGACTAGGGGGAAAAAACGTAATTAATTTGAACTCACAACAAAAAATGGTTTACCCTCAAGTGCAAAGTTAATCACTGAATGATTAAACATTACTAAAAATAGAGTCGGTTTCGGTGAGAAAAGATTTCAGAGATGGTTTCAAAATAACTTTGATCTACCACCAAACATGTAAATCAATTGATATAAAATTATTTCACTTTAATTCATAATTTTGAATTCGAGTCCTAGATACGCAATTTTATTAAAAAACTTGACAGAGAAAGCTTTGTCACCGTTATTATCCTACCTGACTCGAACCGAATTGATCGTGTAATTGATGAATCAACAGAAAAATCTCTAAAAATACAAATAAATAAATATATAAATAAAATAACTTTTTTTTTTGTACATATAACATGTTGCTTGCAAAATAATCAGACGGATAAGTACCACCCTCTTGAAATAATCACGTAGTTCTCATTATATTAGGTGCTTGCATCTCCATGTCATATGAATGTGTGTAAAGATCACACAACTTTCTATTGTACCATTTTCACACCTTTCTAAGAAAATCAACAACTTTCTCTTACCCTGAGAGTAACTTGTTATTGTTAATAACTTTTTTCATCATTGCATGAAAATTTACTCGAACAAAAGTTATCTATATAAATTAACAACTTACTAGCTAGTCAAGTGTAAGTTACAAATTATCATAAAGACTAAACATGGAGCAATAGAAAGTAGTATAAGAGAATCATTAGCAATATCTAATTTAATTGAAAAACCAGTTTAAAGAAAACACAAGGTATATGAATTCAGATGCTTTTTCCAGGAAAACACCAAGGAAATCAATGGTTTCATAACTTCCAAAAGAAAAACACCAAGATGACTGAGAATGAATTTAACAAAATAGCCTAGCAATGATTGCCATAAAAATCCAAATGTCTGATGATCCCATTCAGCTTATTTCTCAGTAACTTTTTCATATAAAGTATCATCAAAATACAAAAATAAATTGTCATCAACAACCAGGCCAAAATTATCCGCATGGAAACTCTTCCCCTAGAATTCACAGATATCTAGTTCCCTGCTTCTAAGCAAAAACTTTTCCCTTTACACAGAGGGACCAAAGATGTATATATATATATACACAATGCTGTGATGCTAATTGGCAGAGGCTGTTTTCTCACTTCCACAGTCTTTTCGGTTGCACACATTTCGAAATGGATAGTTAAGGTTCCCACATTTTCCACAAGTCCAACTACCTTCAGGAATACCTGTATTTGGTTGGCTTGAGCTCTTCAAAAAAGCATGGAAAAACACAAATCAGTATGTGTTGTCATGGTGAACCAAAAAAAAAAAAAAACCAAAACAATCTTCCTGCCCCTCTCACAAAAACCGAAAAAAATAACAAGGAAACACAGTAGATCACAATATGATAACATGATGAAACTATTCACAATATAGTTACATCCTCAACTTCCATTCCAATAAAATGGGGGAAGTGCTTCTTTTAAATTATTGTAGTGAAAATCCATTTTTATGTCTTGATATAATAGTTTAAGCTTTTATAATGAATAGTCATTTATTAAAAATGCCACAAGAACCTCTTTAGCCAAATAGTCAGGACTTTGATCCACACCATCTCTATCCTCATACTAAGCTAAATTTCATAACTTTATCCACGTTTTTGGCCCCAAATGGATTTTGCATGTTCGATGTTGTTAAGATATATGTTATAGTTATGTGTGTTGGGGAGTCCATTAGCTATAGGCCCGTGGCCCATCTATCTTGTAAACCTATCACACTGTAGGATAAAAGAATAAGATAATATGATGGGATATTTCCTTGATAAAATTAAGAAAGAAGCATTGGTATCAAAAATAATTTTTCAAATACAAGTTTAAATCTGGGTGACTGAAAGTTTAGTGTCCTAGTAATGAAAGTTTATGATGATGGGAATCTCTCTCCCCATTCCAAGGAGTTTTCATCTGTTTAGAAGTATCAGAAGTAGGCTTTTGTATCTGAAGCTTAAAGGATCATAATGAAATGAAGGTGAAATACAGACTAAGGCTCACTCTCAAACATAATGAACACCTCTTACACGTGCACTATTCATTCATGTTTACTAAGATGATCATTAGAGCATTGAGAGACAAAAGAAAACACTTACAGGTCTGGCAGCTCCACAGTGTTTCATGTTGCAAGTAGTTCTGAAGGCAAAGTTAACATTCTCACATTTTGGACAGATCCAGTCCCCTTCAGATAAACCATCTGGCCCTGCATAGACAATCCAAAACATGAGGGTGACGCCGTGACATTTTTTCTGTTTTTCTTTTCTTGGTCAAGGCATGAAGATATTTATGCATGTTATTGCAAATCTCCATATAAATGCAAAATAAAAAATACATTATGACTTCTTTTGTTCCCCCACCCTGTCCGAGGGCAGAGAAAGGATTGTTATGATCGAAATTTGAGCCCCAAAGTTCTGTAAATCCAATTTGGGGCATAAGGCCAACTCAAACAGATAACTGGTATATTAAAAAAGGCTAGTTGATTGTAATGGAAAACAAGCAAATTATAGTAAGTTTCACATTCAAAATACATCTTAACTACTTTTCTGTTCATATATAGGGTAAAATTCAAACTTCCAAATTTATTTCCCAATACGATGAAAAGAACAGCATTCACATAATTTGCCTCTTAACCTGAAAAAATATGCAAAAAAAAGCACTTATAGATCAGTAACTTTCTCAAACACTACATTATATCTACTACGCCAAGTTAATTATTTTAATTGACTATTGAGCTAGCCTTTTCCATAGACCAAGAGATCCTCAGAAATCTTATGCCATCAGAAACCAAATGAATTACAAATATTTTCCTCTACAGTGAACAAATTTTATCACTCGTGAAGGAGTTGGAAATTGGAATGTCAAAGGCTTCACGAATCCTAGGAAATTGAAGAAAGTCAAGCACATATTTCTAAGTCTTTGATGGATATTGTCTTGCCCTTCAAGAGACCAAGTTGGAGGAAGCAGATGGTTTTTTGGTCAGAAGTTTATAGCATTCAAGGTTTAAAGAATGTGAATGTTTTACCTCCTGTAGAAACTCAGGAGGTATGATTGTGATTGGGGATACTAGGGTGGCTGCCAAGGTTGACTTGTATCATGGGAAAGATACAGTTTCAGTTTTGATTGCTTAACAGGGCAAGTGGCAGTGGGGTTATATTTCAGTCCATGGTTGTATGAGGTTCGGTTTAGGCCTTTTTTTTTTGGCAACAATTAAGCTTTGTTAATGTTTTCTGATTTAGTGATTTTTATACTCCTTGCTTGTGCTTGGAAGGCAATTTCAATGCAGTTGGATTCCTAATTGGAACTGGGGAAGGAAGAACTATAACCACAATGAAGAGTTCTGACACCTTTATCTGACTCCTCTAAATCCCTCTTCCAGTTTCACACTTAACCACCTAACTGTCAAAGTCAAAGGTTCCTCCTCAACAAACCTATCTAGAATTTCAAGCTCTCTCTAGGTCTTTTGTTTGGACACTAGTTCTTCATAGGATTAACACAAATCACTTGCTACACATTTGCAGATCTCATACCGCTATTTTCCCCCAGGATATGTGTCGTGCAATAAAAGTTCAGAAACAGCTCAATACCTATATCTGCAATGCAAGGCAGCAGCTACCCTTTTTGGAGCAAACTTTTGGGATTTTCTATGATTACTGGATGTTTCTGTGTACTTTATAGAGACTTTTTTTGGATGGTATACTCTAGAGCAGACTTTGATGGTTCAGTTTAAGGGATTTGTTAATAGTAAGGAGGACAACTCTGTCACAGTATGCAACATCTGGCAATTCTTTGATGCATTTGGCTAGAACAGAACACACACATCTCCGAGGGTTCACCGAGATAGGGTTATAATATTAGCAACTCTCGAGTGTTCTGCCCAAGGTTCTTTTCCGGCAAATGGATTTGGGCCACCTTGCTGCATTTCTAGTTTCCTAATTTTGTTTTGATTTAGCTTTTTTCAACTCTTGAGGATGTGTTATCCGCCCCTACAGATATATTGTACTTACTTTTCTCCTCTTTAATAATACTCAGAATGATATGGTAGAGTACACAGATAAAGTTGCTACCATAAAGTAACCTACAAGCAAGAACCAGTTGTTGAAAAAGCCATTTCACCAAATCAGAGAAATACATTAGCTATTATTCGAAAACAAAAGAAATAAAAGAATAAAGGTTTTGAACAAGAAGAGAATCAAGAAGTAAAAGGTCATGTAAATACCTCCACGACGTTTCCGAGATGCAAAATTATCTACTACTAATCCCGTGTCCCATGGAGGACTTTGAAAACCATATCCATAGGGATTGATTCTAGGCCTTGGGCTATAAGTAACACCTGATTCAGCAATAACTTAGTTATAGGAAAATAGACACATTGAAATGACTAAAATCATGATGTCATAGGTAGAATTGCAGCAAATTATGATGCAGAAGTATTTGTATAATTTTTTACTCATTATACTGTTTAGTTGCCCCTACTTAACCTTACAGTCTGCTGCTAATTAAGTTCTCATTAAACATTAAGGTTAGATGGATTTATATTAAATCACAAAATGACCTTCTCAGATGAAACTTGAGTTTCGGGATGGGTAATGGGTTAAGTAATATATACTTCACCAAGTACAAATAGTCCTTAGAACTTTGTGTTCAGCTATCATATGACATATTTTCAGATTTGAATGGTTTCTAACCCTAGACTAATCCTCTTGTTCCTACTACAATTTTCCTACTCCTAAGCATAATTCTTCGAAAAAGTTGTTATTGTTGATATCTATCGAATTTTGTTTGCGTCACATAGGCATATATATCAAATAACTAATATATTAAAACACAAATATTGACAATTGCGAGATTGAGACGAGCACCGCGTGATGAGTCTCCAGCTTACTATGTATTAAGAGACAAATTGAGCATGAAAATGATTTAAAAATAACCAAAAGACACGAGAATTGTGATTAAAATATTATTTTACTCTCAGCAATATTCTTAGAAAGAAATGCTCGTATTTTGTAGGAATTTTGACTTAGTGGAGAAGATCACTTAGTTTTCTTTTCTTTCATTGTTTTGTTTAAGCCAGATATGTCTGGCTAATTTTCTTTGTAGTTAGGGATATGGATCCAACGTGAATCCTTGTTTTGGTTTAACTTTTTATTTAACAAAATCTGTCTCAAATTGTTATGTGCTTATCTCGAATTACTTGTTAAATTCTTGTATGATCTGATCAACCATATAGAAATAAAGAGGGTTAGGGTTCTTAATAGAAATATTGGGATCCTGATCTAGACAGGGGTAAACACCAATTCTTGCATATTCTAAACATAGACATGTTGGAATTGTAAACTTGTTAGATTCATCACGCGTAAAGCTTAATCTAAAAAGGATTTTTAAGACATTAGGATTCTAATTAGGTTAAAGAGTTAAATAAGTAAGACATTAGGGGGATTTAACCAATTGTCTCTTAGATGATGAATTGTATGAAACAAGAGAGATTGAAATTGTTGAATTGAGCCAAATCACTTAAGGGGGATCAGAGGTGAAGTCAACCCTAACTACATTTCTCATTCTTGATTCCCAACTCATCTTTTAATTATTTGAATCCTTTTCTTGCATTTACTTGTTGCTTGGTATTAGAGTAACTCAGTTTATATTCTGTAAAATCAGTTACAACAATGTAACTGACTTGTAGCTATAACAATGTAACTGACTTGTAATGTAACTGACTTGCAGTTACAACAATGTAACTGACTTAGTTTTATGTTAGATTCTAACTCAGTGGGTTAATATTGTATAGTTAATTAACTCACTGAAGTTAGCATAGTTCAGTAGATCTATAAATAGATCCCTGTGTAATTCTCTATGTACTGTAATCATTTTTTCACAATTCTAAATACAGCTTCTTTCAGATTCTCTCTTCCCTTACTTTGATTCTTCGTTTATGGTATCAGAGCTCCATTCTTGGGGCCCCGATCCATTTTCTTCTTTCTTCCATGGCTTCCGCTACAAAAAACACTCCAACTTCAGCGTCATCTGCAAATCAAAAAAACGCTTTAGGTGATTCCAAATCGCCTATATTGTTCAACACGCAATTGTCTGTGAAATTAACTAGCAAGAACTTCCTATTATGGAAGCAGATTGTTGAACCACCAATAATAGCTCATCAATTGGAACACTATCTTGTAAATCCACAAATTCCTCTTCGATTTAGATCAGAAGAAGATCAAGTTGCTGAAATAGTTAATCCAGCGTTCGTTGAATGGGAGAAAACAGACAAGATGCTCCTCACATGGCTTCAATCAACTCTTTCTGAAGAAACCATCAACAAAATTCTTGGTGTGCGTCAATGTCATCAAGCATGGGATAAAATTCACAAATATTTTGATTCAGTAACAAAAGCAAAAGCCAACCAAGTCAAATCTGAGTTACTAAACATCAAGAAAGGTGACAAAAACATCGAAGAATTCATAGCTCGAGTGAAAGCTCTCAGTGATACGTTGATAGCTATAGGAGATCCTTTCTCTGATCAAGAACTTATTCAAACTGTTCTTGAAGGACTTCCTGAAGATTATGGTCCGTTCATCACTTACTTTAGAGGAAAAGATTATAGTTGTTTTGAAGATCTTGAATCACAACTCCTAGCTCAAGAAGCTATGCTCGCAAAATTTCAAGCAAGTATGTTATCTTTGAACTCAATTAATGTAGCACATAACAGTCATCTGTTCACCCCTGTTTTAGGAACTCAAGAACAGGGGAACACCAGACAATTGCAACCTTCTTTACGAGGACCTTTTGATTAAGAAAATAACTCAAGAAGTTACGTTCAACCTGTAAGAGGTGGATGGCGCGGTGGTCGTGGCAGAAATCGTGGTGGAAGAACTGGTGGCAGATTTCTCGTGACCTGTCAACTTTGCCGGAAAAATGGCCATGAGGCTGCCAACTGCTGGTGGAGATTCAACACAAGCTTCACACCTCCACAATCAACTCAGGCTCATTTTCCGACCACTGCGAACTTTCCGGCAAACTCTCCAGTGACAGCAAATTTGACGGTCTCTCAAATTCCAGCTCGTCCAAACTGGAATTCTTTACATGCTACACCTAATTCCTTGCAATCTCAATCTCAAGCTTCATCTTTTCAAGGTGGACTTCCACATGCACTTGCTGCTGCATCTACCAGTGGCCAGATAGCTCTTGAAAGGTATCCTGACTCAGGAGCTTCACACCATGTCACTGCTGATTCAGGAAATTTGATGCAAAGCACTCATTATGATGGTCCAGAACAGATATTTGTTGGAAATGGGCAAGGTTTGTCTATTACTTCTGTTGGTTCCAACAGCTTTCTATCTCCTTTTAAACCACAAACTTCTCTATATCTACATAATCTTCTTCTTGTTCCAAAAATTACCAAAAATCTTATAAGTGTCAGCCAATTTGCTAGAGATAACAAAGTTTACTTTGAATTTCATTCAACTCACTGTTTTGTTAAATCACAGGAGTCCCAGGAGGTCTTACTTGAAGGCTTTCTTGAACAAGATGGTCTGTATAAATTCAAGGGACTCCAGCTTCTACTCCTGTCCCATCAAATAATTCTACTTGTCATTCAAATAATTCAGTTTGTAATACTCTATCATGTAATAAAGTCTTTCACAATCAGATTTCTGTAAATGATGTATCAAGGAGCTATAGTCTTTGGCATTCCAGATTAGGACATCCTCACTTTGAAGCTTTACAAAGAGTATTGTCTCATTGTAATATACCAATTGGAAATAAAATGATTTCTGATTTTTGTACAGCTTGTTGTATGGGAAAGTCTCATAGATTACCATCTTTTCCTTCTTCCACAGAATATAATGAGCCCTTTGCACTTATTTTTAGTGATTTGTGGGGACCTGCACCCATTTCCTCATCTCAAGGCTTTATGTATTATATTACATTTGTTGATGTTACAACAAGGTATATATGGATTTATCCCCTCAAACAAAAATCAGAATCACTAAACATTTTCAAACAATTTCACTCCTTTGTTTCCACTCAATTTCAACATAATATCAAATCTGTTCAAACTGACTGGGGTGGTGAATTTAGACCCTTCACAAAATTTCTTACAGAATCGGGAATCATTCATAGACTCATTTGTCCCCATACTCATCATCAAAATGGGTTAGTTGAGAGAAAACACCGACAAATTGTTGACATGGGACTTACTCTTCTTGCACATGCTTCCCTTCCTCTTAAGTACTGGGATCATGCCTTTCTTACAGCTGTCTATTTAATAAATAGACTGCCTACATCAGCTTTAAACTTTAAAATTCCCTACTATGAACTTTACAAAACATTTCCTGATTACAAATTCCTTCGCAGATTTGGATGTGCTTGTTTTCCTCTACTTCGTCCATACAATAAGCACAAATTTGATTTCAGACCTCAGGAATGTGTTTTTCTAGGATACTCACCCAATCACAAAGGTTATAAATGCCTCCACCCTGATGGAAAAATTTACATATCTAAAGATGTACTCTTCAATGAACACAGATTTCCCTTTCCATTCATATTTTCTTCAACCTCATCAAGCATCCCAAGCATCCCAAGTAACTTCACTTACTCAAGTAATATCATCCCACTAACTTCTACTTCTCCTAATACATTCTCTCCATCACTTCCTCAGACCCCTACCTCAGAATCATCAACTGCAGCAATCAGAACCAATTCGAATGTTTCATTTTCTGGACATACCAATGACTCTGCTCCTAACTTGTTACATGATACATCATTTACTTCTTCTGATAGTGTTATACCTTCTGACAGTGCAGTACCATCCTCTACTTCACCTCACTCTAATTCCTCACATAATAGAGTCAGTTCACCTCAACCTTCTACTACTGCTGAAAAATCCTCTCACACCAGTTTTACTCCCTCATCCAGTCAAATCAGTCCCTCTCAGTCTTCTAACTCTAGTTCTCCACCCTTAAATACTGCAGTGCAGTCCCCCATGTCCACTGTTTCTCCTATGTCTTTATCTTCTTCTCCACCTTCATCAGGATCAGAATACAGACCCTATAAATCTCTTAAAATACATTCTCCTCCTCATACTATACTTACCAGATCTAAAGGTCCAGCCCCTTCCATCTTTACTGCTCATATGGAACCAACCAGTGCTAAACAAGCTCTAACTGACCCCAAATGGGCTCAAGCTATGCAGCAGGAATATGATGCTCTCATTGCAAATTGTACATGGTCTCTTATGCCTCTACCAGTCTCAAGGAAACCCATTGGTTGCAAATGGATCTTTAGAATAAAAGAAAATTCTGATGGTACAATTAATAAATACAAGGCAAGGCTAGT